ACACACACACACACACACACACACACACACACACACACACACACACACGGAGAGAGAGAGATGTTCAATGACTCAGACAACACCTGGGACTGTGCTGTGAATGGATTATTGACAGATTCCTTTTCCTACCGGTTCTCCAGAATGATACGCAGCAACATCTCCAAGCAGAAGGCAGCATCCTCTTCATCATAAGTCTCTTCATCTGGGGTGACTGATATCAGAGCCTGGATAGGAGAATCTGGTTTGCTTTTGTTGTCTTTATGACCCAACCATGATATACAGTAAATGCCATGTATCCATACTAGCCTGAACTAAAATCAAGACACAGCAAGACAAGAGCTACATACACATTGAAAGAAATGTTGGTAAGAACTAACAAAAACCTTCATTAGCTCCTGTAGAGACTCCAGCTGGAGAAATTTACTCTCTGTGATCAGCTTCTCTGGGTCACATTGCTAGAAGGAGAGACAGAAATATCAGTGATGACACAATCTTATACAGTGAACTAACTATCGGAATGGGTGAAGTCATTGTACAAACAATGCAGTCATTTAACTAAACCACAAAATCGTTACAGTCGATGCGTTTATGTGCATGAAAGAAAAGTCATGTCGAAAAATATGAAACAATGACGTCTTAATTTAGGGTTCTGTGAATTTCCCTGGAAAGAAGAAACTTGTCCAGTTTCAGTCTTGTGGAGAAAGTCGTTCTGTCTCTCATGACACAAATGATGTCTTTCCAATCAGTGTACGGTATTTCTGGCTTAAGCCAGAAGCTTCAGAACTATTAATGAACAGCCTGAGACGAATACAGACCAAGACATTAACAGCCTTTACACACCAGGAGCAACACAACTTCTTTTCAGAACGAGGTGGATTTTAACCACCAAAAATGAAGACTTCCACAAATCATGTTGTGTGGAATGGATATTTAAGACAACACAAAGGCTCCTTGGATAGAACCAAGACGGTAAACTTCAACCTTGACAAAGGCAGCGCAGACCGGATCCACTCCTTCCCTTCTTACTTTCACAATAAAAACACCAACACTGTGTCACTATTTACCAGATGGAACTCACATTCAGCTTTGGCTAAAAGGAAACTCAATACAATAGTGAGCAGTAGCTCAGGTTATACATCCATTTAGCCAGACAGACTGCCAGAGGCTGCTCTGGGTCAGTAGGCTCCTCATCGTTGGTCCTCTGCCTGCCTGGTGTGAATAGTTGTGATGCAAGATATAATCAGGCAAGGATTTTGCATTTCTGTGTGGTTTATTTATCACACCCCCTGTGTGGGAAAGGTCTTAATAATCAAGAACAATATGTTTAGTTGTGTCTAGTGAAGCAGATATGCACCTGGCTGTACCTGACACACTATTCTGCATTAATACAAGTGATCATGCAGCAAGAAGGCTGCAGTATCAAAGACAAAACATGAGACTTCTAATTACTATCTATGGCATTTAACTACTCTTTTCTTTTGAAATGCATTTCTCGGATTTAACACAAATGTTTTATTATACATCATTCCTCCTCCTCGACTTTTTAATTTTGCACCGTGGCCGTTTACGGGCACGACACATGTCCTAGTCTTTCTTTTTGATCATCTACATTAAGGGTCCAGCACTCAGTCTTCTATGTCTAATCAGGAGTTGTACACGTTGTGTCTTCATTTTTCCTAAACATCATTAATCAGAACTTCAGATGGTGTCAAGTGTTTACTGAGTAGTACCTTTATGCAGAGGACAGCAGCCTGCTTGGCCTCCTGGTTTTCCGTGGACGGTCCTCTAAGTCCTGACTGCTCGGCTCCACTCAACGTCAACCAGTTAACAAAACTCAACACCGCCGACTCACCACTGACGTGCAACAAAGGAGACATTGAAGTTTTACTCTTGGCCCTTTCGGTCAGGATTGTTTTTTTTTAAATACATTTTTCGTATTATAGAAAGCTGGTCTCTTCTTCTAGGAATTAAAGAGGATTTTATGAAAAAACGAGAAAGGAACATGGCTGGAGGGATGACACAAACACACAGCAGTGTAGCTATATCTGGATAAACATCTCACTGTGACACCTTGACAACATGTTCCCATTAGCTTCTAATGTAAACATACGAACAGATGGCAGATGAGAATTGCACATACCGATTAGAAGGCGTTTCCTCTCTTTGAAGAGAAATCTTCCCATTGGGCTCCACAAAATCCTCCACCTGAGGCAACAAGCACAGTGTTTGAGTAGTGAGCAGTAGATGGCAGCAGAACATGTGGAATGCACTCTCTGTCTACAAGCCACAGTATCTGCAGTGTTATCACAAAGAGTGTTTTGAGTTTGGTAGTCCTGACCTCCACCATGGCTTTGGGCAGGAGCTCGGCTCTGAACAGCTGTAGCATGGAGTCCATGATGTTCTTCCAGCCCTCCCTCAGGATGTTGCCATGCCGATGGGAGAGGTCAAACATCGTTTTGGCTGCTGTCTGTGCTTTATTATTGCTGCCAAAGACTGTAGGGAGGTTTTCCACAGACTGCACAGGGAGAGGACACACCAACACTCAGTCAACAGACATTCTGACACAGATACTGTCTTTATTTATTTATTTATATATATATATATTGATATATATATATATATATGAACTAATAACGCTTTAGTTACAAGAGAGGCTTTAGTTACAAGAGAGGATTTTGTTTGTCATTACATTCATTCATTTACGGGAGGTGTTAGATGAATAGCTCGTCTTTATTGTCCCAGGAGGAGCCGGCACATTATCACGCCTAGACATGAAGTCTTTATTGCCATTACCGAGCCACGTACGTGTGTGTGTGTGTGTGTGTGTCACTATAAACTAGTATTTCAAATGTAGCTCTTGCCTTCTGCAGCTGAAAGATGTTTGGTTGCGCAAGCATTTGACAAACTGATTCTTAATTACAAGCAACATTTTATAAAATTTGATGAATTCATTCAAATAAAAAAAAAAATTACATTCTCTGTTGCACTACGTATTTGTATTTTACTATAACAAAACACACACACACACACACACACACACACACACACACACGTGTGTCTGTGTGCATTTGCAACATGTGTGACTAAAACAAAACAACAATTAAATATATACCTTACTTGTTCTGTCTTGTCTGTGTTTGTGAGCCACATTAAGTACAGCATTGATCGATAATATTAACCAAATCAAATTAAAGACAACATATCAGGAGGTCACGATACTTTATGATCAAATTATGAACAAAACAATTTATGATTGTTATCTCTGGAGCTCTTAAAATAACATTTCACTGCACTATGTTCCCAAATGTCAGCTTTAACTGCAACTGGAAGATTGATGTCCACATGACATATTGGTGAAACAACCCTGACCACATTAGCACAACATGCTGTTGTGGACTTCTTTCTCACCTCGCTGCTCAGAGTGGTGAACTTGCAGAGGGAGATGATCAAATTGTCAAAAACATCACTGAAGCCATAGTGAGCTGCTATCATGGCGCACTTCCTGCAACGACAGAAAGACACAGAACACATAAAACACTGAATAACATTTTGCTTTATATTTCATTATTATGGATGTCAAATGATTCATGTTTTAACAAGGACTAGATTTCTGTGGATACTTAAGTAAATATGAGACAATGCTTCCAGCAGAGACAAACGTCTCATCAGGCTCAGGAAGAGTTTGATTCTCATCACCTACTCAGTAAACACGGTGTGGTTGGTCAGACAATGTAGAAGATATGGAGGTTGTTTATATGGCTGTACATAAAGCAGTACACGGGGAATGCACTGCACTTATATAGCGCTTTCTACCTTAGAGGACAAAGCGCTTTATAATTTGCCTCTCATTTACCTATTTGCACACACTCGCACACAGATGGTACAAGAGATGGTACAAGGTGCTGGCCTGTATCTTGCAACTTGAGGTTCAGCGCATCGCCCAAGCCAGGGAGCCAGGGATCAAATCGCTCTACATGACCCTCAGCGGCCCCAGACTCTCAAGTCCTTATTCAAACTATCTCCCTGCTCCGCCACTTCAGCATCTGACTATTTTCAACTTGTATACCTGAAGCCAGTGATGGCCTTCTGGATGATGTTGTCGTCCAGGCTCTTGTCAAAGACGTAGGAGAGGGCAGCGATGGTGGGACCCCAGGTCATGGTGAACAAGTCATGGTCGTAGCTGCCGGGTGTCAGGTGGAGGAAAAGACCTTCGGGTGTGGCACCGCGGTGAAGCAGCACACTCCATACATAGTTGTCCTTCACTAACCCGGACTGCTCATCTGGCATCACGATCTCCTCATTCCTGCAGAGGACAAACATCTCGGCTCATGAATTAAGGCTGGGAGAACTTTTGTCAAAGCATTTGCCTCACATTAATCAATATCAATATGTTTGTCAAACACAAGCAGTCGTAAAAGAACTTGCCTCAATCAAATGGTTTAGAAATGGAAAAAGTTTAAATCGGGAACAATCTGATCAAAGAATAAATAAAAACCATTATGACCCTGACCAGACATCTAATACCAGCTTTTGGTTAGAGCTGAAAAAATGTGACAATTAATGGATTTGCACAAAGTGTATCTGCAAAATTGAGATAATCCATCAATTATTTGAGTCATATATTTAACAAAATTGACAAACATTCTCATTTCCAGATTCTCCAATAAGAAGATCATATGTGGTTATAGAATGACTATCTTTGGGTTTGAGAGTACGGCCGTACATTACATACATACAGTTGTGTGATGGCAGCTTACTTGACAGCATTGTAAAGATCCTCCAACATGTCCTGGTCAAAGTCTTTATTTCCATTCACTCCCTTCAGATTCTTCTTGAATTGCTGCATAAAGAAAAAAAAAAAGTGCAGTTAGCTGTGGAACTAATCTGCTTTATTTCTCTGGCAGAAACTTAAATCAAACACCTCACATGATTCTAGGAGTCAAATGGTCATTTCTCCACCATCAACATGTCAGTCAATGCATCTCAACACGGGAGCTTAGCTCAGACACCCAAGCCTCTGGCATTCAGTGCTTCGTTAACTGAGCATCCAGCAACATACAATTAAAGGGCTTTGTGTGGAAACACACTTGCTGTGTGTCACTTAATACGCTTTAGCTGCAGGGTTAGGAAAACAGGGATTAGAGCCAAGAGCCTCCTGTAAATAAACAGAATCACCCTGTGATGACTGACGACCTCAAGGCTCGATCTTATGCCTTGACAAGTCCGGGATTGTCCCACTGGCAGGTAAGAGGAGAGGAAACAGGAGTTTCTCTGCAGGGACGCAGAGAAATAAACACCGGCAGAGAGAGCCACAGACAGCAGGAGGCCTCCGAGGATCAGAGCTCTATTATCTATTTCTATCCGTCATGCTCATACAGTATCAGGGACTCACACTGTCTCACACTCAGAGCAGCTCTTGGTGCAGCTGCTGGTACAAACAGGCTCAAAAACCCAGCAGCGTGCTGTATTTTATGGACCAAACGAAGTTTAGAGACTGACCTTACCTGCACCTCACTGAACACATGCCATCTCATTGTCACATCCTCGGGAATAGGATCTGATTTACAGTGATGCTGGGCATAGTTTTCCCATTTCAAAAATAACCTCACTGCCGACACATGCTCTGGTGAACACTACGCATTGCAAGCTGCTAAGTAACTGCAGTGCTTGGCGCCACTTTTATTGGCCCTCACCAAACTATTGTGTGGAAGCCTCTGCCTGTTGTCTGAGCCTGGAGGTCAATGAGCCTTCTTCATCAAACCACAACTGACCTTTTAGGAATGTGTAGGGATCATTTAAACACCATACAACACCAGCTGCGTGATGAGGTATGACTCGACTCAAGACAGAGCATTTCTACAAAGTATGTGTCCTTAAAAGAGAGCGAGACGGAGAGCAAAGCAAGTGCTTGCTATTGTTGGTCAGTGAGAGTGGCCCACCCACAAACTGTTCACAGGCTGCCCAGAGGCTCTGTTTAGTCTTCAGCAGCTGTCAATCAAAGACAGAGAAAACAGAGACAGCAGATGAAGAGAGACCGAGAGAGACAAGAGCACAGCCCGCGCCCCCCCCCCCCCCCCCCCCCCCTCCGCCTGTTTAGGATGAGTTCTCCTCTCGGACAGAACACCACTGCCTACAGCTGTTGGCTTTCTGAGCAGAGGAATGCCCAGTGAGAGAAAAAATACAAATATGAATACAACACAGCTTTGATTCCTTTTCTGAATTTAATCTGCAAACTAACATTTGTTATAGACAAAGGTACGGTGTTATGCCATCTAAAGCTTAGTTTATACTCGCTGTAGTGAAGCTTACGATGCTCGCGCCAGAAATGACGTAATCACAGCCGGAGGTAAGTGGAGGAGGCGCTTGCTCGTGCACCTCTGAATGTTTGGAACTTGGCGTGCGCGATTACATGACTGTCACAAATAGTTCACTGATAAAAACACCATTTACAAGTCTGGGGATTATACAGAGAAGACCAATTCACTTTTAAATGCTTTAGAGACAGGAGGTCTTCAAAATCTATGTTTGAGGAAATATTTTCCAACCAAATCAAATTGTTTACAGGAAATTAAACCTTTGTTTCTTTATAATGCATGTGATACTTGACTTTTTCTTTACAGGGCTTGGTCAAAGACAGTAAAGTAGTCCATGAATATGAGATTACAGATATGGAGGTTGGTTTATATCTTTTTGCAGGTAGTCTATGGTCTTATCTCTGAGTTACACTCGCTGTCTTTTTGATTCTTCACAGTTCATTTTGTTTGTACACCCTCTGGTGTTTGGGAGAATAATGCAGCCTATAGAGTATAAACTCCTCCAGCTCGCTGTCTGCAGAGGCCAAGCGCGAGCTGATGCAGCTTTGACAGGAACAAAAAGTCCTGCTGGACACGACCACATCAAACAAGAGTGACACTATCATTACGACTCTAGCCCAGCCTCCATCTCACACCAGAGGTGAACTATTCCCCAAAGTTCAGAGTATATTTATCATTACTTAACAGAGTAAGCGCGTTGGCAGTGACTTTTCACAGCTCCTTCATCACCACCATATTCTTACACCGAAACGGTCAACGCTTATTGACCAAAGGATTAGAAATGGAAATACGCAAGGCAAATCACCCAAATCAAACACACAAACATTTTCTCACTTCTAGGTAGGTCTTCCACAGAAACCTGTGTGTGTGTGAGAGTGAGAGTGAAAGAGAGAGAGAGAGAGAGAGAGAGAGAGAGTGAACTCACCTCTATAGTCATGGGGATATTCTGCTTGCGGACATTGTGGTTGTGCTGGTCAGTGTTCAGCATTATGACAGCGTAGGCCAAGGCGAAGCCTGCATCGTTGGTCATGAAGGGACAGCCGTTGACTTTCTACAAACACACACACATACAGTACACACGAGAGAACACAGGATAAACAGTGGGCTACATCTTTCACTGTCTATTACTTCAGGACAGACCACTTTGTTCCTAGACAGAATCTCACCTTGCACATGCTGCTGACATGATCACAGTGAGCCCACAGAGTGGAACATTCTTTTACAGAGTCGCTGCCTTAAATGACTCATCAACTCTCTCAAGGCCACTATCTGTGTGCATGTGGTCAGCCTAAGAAAAGGACATTACTTGAAATAGTTTCCAAGTCACATGGCTCCTTCTGCTATTTTCAGAAGACAAATGTTCCCCCTTGTGGAGCTGGCCCATCATCGTGTATATGTGTGTGTGTGTGTGTGTGTGTGCGCGCGCGTGCGTGTGTGTTAACACTTATGTCATCCTCCCACTATAACCTGCAGGGTCAATCATATGTCAGTGTTTGATTCATATTTTCACCACCTTTACACAGCTGGAATTAACTGATGAAGGAGAAGTCCATTTGTAGACTTAGTGTTTGGAGTCCTGAACATGTGAATAATGTGATAATGCAATTAGAAACGGCAGCAAAGTTGGGCTCCCTCTAAAGCTGGCCACCCATCGATGACACATACTGTACATTGTTGGTTCACATTCAGGCAACAGAATACTGAATGCAAAGATTTCGTTACCTCACTGAATGTGTTATGGCCCATTGATTTCAAGTTTGCAAAAGTTAACTACTAAATGCTATATCTTAGCTAATGTTAGCTTAAGCCATAGCTGTGAAAAGACCATGAATGCTACATGCATATAACCATTTTTCTGGAAGCCTCAAATGACGAACTCCTGCTGGTTTGATTTAAAGTCAGAATGTTGTGAGAGTGCTATCTTTGGTCATATCTGTGGTAATGAGCACAAACAGGACCAAACCAGGCCACAAAGTCAAATCAGTACAGCAGGAAAAATCATAGGCACTGACCAAGAAATAGCCCTGAGCATGTACATCAAACCTTCACTCCAATTTTAGACACAGCAGCAACCTGAGCCGGGGAAAGAGACCTCTTCATAAAGAATCTGAATAAGTAGATGTAAGAACTCCTTTACTCCTCAAGCCATCAGACTGTAAAACATGCACCTTCATCAACAGGCCTCTTACCTGGTCACTGGCACTTTTATATCATATACACTCACCGGCCACTTTATTAGGCACACCTGTTCAATTGCTTGTTAACACAAATAGCTAATCAGCCAATC